ACAGTCCTCGATGCTTCGCGCTCGAGTTGCATCCTTCAAGCGAACATTTTTTGCCGCCCTACAATCAGCAAAATATATACACGATAGAATCAGTACAGTTCTGGGAGTTTTTACGTTATACGACTACCAAGAATCCACTATTTCTCGGACGGAATTGACACGTACCCCGTGACGACAGCACAGTCCCTTGTGCACGATGTAATTGTTGCAGCCCTCGTGTCTGCATGTGCGACGGCGCTTCTTCTCCTCTTTGCTTAGCTTCAAGGTTTGTTTGGCACCTTGGAGAATATGAGCCGACGGTGATGCGACCACAGCAGTTCTGGTCAGTGCTGACTGCCGCGTGTGTCGGATGGGCATGTTCAGGATGAAGTGAAGCCCGAACTTGCACTCATCTGCTGCGGTGGGCTCCGATTTCGATACGCCGAGCGAGTGTGGTCCAGAGAAGGAGGTAACTTTGTCGTGTGCCACCACCTGCATGTTCGTTTGGATATGTGGAGTGGTCTCCGCTAGACGCGTGCAAATTTGAAAATGAGGTAGTCACAAGGTCCCTTCGAGATGTTTAGTATCTTGTTGACTGCGGCGGAGGACTTTGTAGTACAATTCTCTCGCGCCATGAAAACGCGCATAGTCACCGATTGTCCCACACTACCTTTGGTGAAGTGACCGAAACCTGTCAGACTAAAAGTGTTGGATGGCTAGCAAACGTTGACAACGTTGGTGACTGGATGTCTGGTGCGTAGTTTTCGGCTGGCTTTTCTGTCATAATGTCTGCGGCCGTCGTAGAACGGGTAAGTAGTTGACCCCGAAAGGTTAACGTGGTGGAGGAACCTGATTTACTGAACTTGTCCGCGGCCGTCGTGGTACAGGTAAGTGCTCGACCCCGAAAGAATAACGTGGTGGAGAAACCTAATTAGCTGCACCTGTGTTGACAGAACCATGAGGTTCATGATGAGCGGCCGTGTTTTAGTCACCAGTCGTGATTCACCACTGATCTCTTTATCGCTAACGTGTACTTAAGTACTGATCTCAATCTGAAAGATTATCCAATCATGATGGTCCTATAACAAACTGGAGCTCAACCTCATTGCGAATTTACGAAGCATTGTGGTAGAGTAGTATATTGCAACACCCGTTCTACCACATTGCAAGCCTTTGAAGATAAAGCTGTGGTGCAATAAACTGTCTCTTGCTCGTGAGACTAAAATTCGGTGACGATACGGTTTAAATAACTGGGACAGTCGCTAGACAAAACAGTGCGGCTGGATGTCAAACATGCAAATGGGCCACGCGAGGATGCCACGTACTTGGCAGAATGTGGTGACAAATAGTAATTCGATTGCGCGAGTGTATAAGTGGAGTTTGCTTACGAACTTCTATGTTGTGCTAGTAAGTTATCCAGCGATTAACCAAGATGAACAAACGCTTCTTACTGTCCGAACGCTTGACGTCATTGCTGCACTTATATTACTGCTGCTGTTGTTCTCAAGTGCTGGTACGTACAGGTGGAGCGACAACTGAGCGTCTGTTTTCTTCCATGGAGACCACGACACAGTCGACGGATGCAGATAATCGAAGCTTGCAATCATATTGGGTGACTTTAATATGGGGGAACGCACGTCAAACATCCTTTCATATTGTCGTCGATGTCACAAATTCCCTGAAAAAGTTTGATACTGTTCTTGAGGTGTGAATGGAGATCTTTGTGCTCCTAAACATTTTTTTTTATTTAAGCGTACACGTACGCAAAAAGCAGTCATAAACCAGTGTCGCCCATCATATATACCTTCGAAAATACATCGATCGACTAAGACTTATCCTACGGAAAGTCTAACCTTTTATGAATTTCGTGTCTGGGTTTTGACACGCCTTCAAAATTCGATTCAGATCGTCCAAACCACCGGAGGGGTAAATTGTTTTTGTTTGATCTCAGCAACTGTGTGATTTGGTAGGTTAAATCAATCTCTGAGTACTGAATTGGCATTGCAAGTACATGATGCGCTCAGCGAACTGCAAATTAGTGGCACACTAGACTTTGACTGTAAAAGAACTTGGTGTTGGCAATCTAAACTCTGTAAATACTGTGCTTTTTTGTCATGTAAGAGCATCTTAGTACTGTGCATTAGTTTTTCAGCTGGAACGGAATTATAATAGGCAGGTATTTTTTTTGAAGAGATAATAGAAGGGCTCGATTTCTTTTCTCGCGAGCAATTGCATAGCCGTAGCAAATTCCAGAATATTAACTACACCATCACTTCGAAATACAAAGTTGATAATACAGAAATCGGGTAATTCGATGCATTATTTCCCTGTTCAGTAAACTTTTGGTGGCCAATGATTATAGTACTGCAATGTCCACAAATGCATAGAGATGGAAATGTCGTAGCATTTTACCTCGTTTTTTATTAGGAAGAACAGAGTTTAACAAAAGCGAATCTACCTACAACACCGAGTTTTGTGATGTATTTATCCATTAACAGGCTTCTTGTCTAAAACTTCTACTTGCCACAGTAGCGTCAA